CTGCCTCCCGAAATTATTGGTTTCGCTTGACACATCCTGAAAAAGTGTGATCGCTTCGCTTGATGTTGCTATATCAACATCGCTTGATGTTGCTATCTCAACATAGCGTTTCGAGGTGATAATGAAGTTCGGCCTCAGCGCTCGCCGCCCAATTTGAATTTTGTATAGGGCGACGATAATCAACTCTAAACACTGAAGGGGGGGTCCTTTTATCATCATCGGCATGCGGTTATTCAGTCGAATTTCTTCGCGCACGCGTGAACGTGTCAAGGCAAGAGTTGCGTCCCTCTGTCTCCGAATTAAAAGCAAACAACACGCGGGCAACGCGCGCGCGCCCCCGCGCCCCCGCGCACGCGTTGTAACCATTGCAGAACGACACGGTGTTGGAACCAACAAATTACGCGTGCGTATCAACAAATTGTCCCGCTCGGCGAACATATTCCCCGGTTTTCCGGAATCGCGCTTCCTCGTCCTCATCAACATTATCGTCAGTATCAATGCCATCATCACCACCATTGCCACCGTCGCCACCGTCACGTTCATCACCATGACCATCGTCGTCGTGACCACTACCACCCGTTCCGGGTCGTCATCTAAGCGAAGCTTGGACGGATTTGTGAAAGCACATTGCGATGGGAATTCTTTCACGCAGCTTCTTTACTTACAGGTTGGGTTGCCCAGTGTCGCGCGTTGTCCGGGAAAGCGGTTTCAAAGTTCCGCCCTTGTTTGCAAGTTGAGGAATTGCATGGGGGGCGGGTTGACATGACAGATCCGCGGGGTAGAGGGAAAAACAACATGTCGCTATCATGGCCATCGTCGCCCTCGTCGTCAGCTTCACCATCATCATCATCATCGTCGCCGTCGCGGGCGTCGTCGTCACCAAGATCACTCGCCCAAGCCATGGATCTGCATGGGAAGGGTCCTCGAGTCTTTGCGCCAGTTGAATTCGGCCAGCAAGGTCCAGGTGGGTGGGTGGGATGGTTGCTCGGTTATTGGCATTGCCAGGGGGGGGTCAAAAAGTGTGGCTTCAAATCTGACAATAGCGGGGGGCTCTAAAAAGTGTTTGACAGCGCGCTGGGACCCCCCCCACCAAGAGCGGTGCAACCGAATCAGAATCCAGACTCGCCAGAGGCATCGCTTGACATCTCGATCTAGAGCCCCCCTATATATATGTATATATGTATGTATGTATGTATGTATGTATGTATGTATGTATGTATGTATGTATGTATGTATGTATGTGTGTATATGTATGTATGTATGTATGTATGTATGGATGTATGTATGTATGTATGTATGTCTGTATGTATACATATATATGTATATATATATATATATATATTAAAACCTAAAAACGTCTGAGCGTAAATCTCGGGACCCCCCCCCAGCAGAGAAAACGACGACAACGACGCCAGTGAGGACGACGACACCGACGCCGACAACGATTACGATTACGACGACGAAGAGACGACGACCACCACCACGAGCACGACGACACCGCGGACGACGACGACGAGATACTGACGACACGACGACGACGACGACGTCAACATCGACGACGACGACGACGACGACGACGACTACGATTACGACGACGATGACGACAGTGACAAAAACGACGACGACGACTATGACGACTACTACGACTACGATCACGACTCTGACGACGAGGGTGGTGACGACGACGATGATACCGACGTCAGATAGCGACGGCGATGCCGACGACGATTACGACGACGACACCAGCGACGACTACGACGCCGACACCCACGACGACACCGATGACGGCGACACCGACGACGACGGTTACGATATCTACGAAGCAAACGACGGCGACACCGACTTTCGACGACGAGGACGACACCCATGACGACGACACCGTGGAAGAGGACACGACGACGAAGACGGCGGCGACGACGCTGACACCGACGACAACTACGACGATTACGAGACGATGGCGAGGGGGGTACGCATGAAGATGGTATTGACGGTGACGATGGCGGCGACGGTGACACCAATCATGACGATGCGACAGGTACTAAACATGCCACCACATGCTGCACAACCTACAAGCATACCAAGACATACCACCAACACCACCACCACCAAACCATACACACCACCCATACCATCACCACAGGACCAACACATACAAACCACCCATATCATACCAACACTAAGATACCACAAACATGCAAACCACACATACCATCACCACCCATACCCCATACCGTCACCACCACCCATACCATCACCACCTTATACACCGCCCATACGAGGACATACCACCACAACCACCACATCAACCAAACCAAACCGTACCAAAACATATAGATCACCCACTAAACATACCACCACCAGCACAGACCACCGCCACCACTACCACCACCATACCTACTAAACTAAACATACTACTACTGGAAAACCACGCGCCAGCTCGCGGAAAGTAACGCGCTACTGATACTGACATGAAATAACGGTGTCAATAGTCAGTGGAAGTGACGATGGTGCGAACGATTCGTCGCCGTCGGCGTCGTTGTCGTCGGTGTCGTCGTCGTCGACGCCGTCGCCGTATTCGTCGTTGTCGCGTCGTCCTCTTGGTCGCCGTCGCTGGTGTCGTCGTCCTCGTCCTCGTCGTCGTCGTTGTGAGTGCCGTCGCCATCGTCAGTGTCGTCGTCATTGCCAGTGTCGTCGTCGTCGTCGTCGTCGTCGTCGTCGGTGTCATCGTCGTCGTGGTCTTGATCGTCGTCGTGGTCGTCGTCGTCGACGGCGACGTCGTCGTCGCTGTCAGCGCCTGTCGTCGTTGTCCTTTTCGTCGTCGTCGGTGTCGTCGTCCTCGTCGGAGTCGGAGTCGTGGTCGTCGTCGTCGTGGTTATCGACGTCGAAGGCGTGGTCGTTGTCGGTGTCGTCGTCGTCGTCGCCAGGGAGCTGGCGATTGGCAGGGTGCAGGATCCCCCAAAGCCTCTTACCAGATGTCGACAAATTTGAAAAAACCTTCCAAACGTTTTGCATGAAAGCTCAGAGTAGACCCCCCCAGAAGAAATTCAACTAATGTTTCAGTATCGAGGCCCCCCCACAGTTTTGTTTGAAAAGGCCTGATAGACCCCCCGAACATGTAGACCCCACTCCCATTGTTGTGCAATCCAGCAACATCGTGTGTACCACATAGACTGCATGACATCGGTTCCAGCAAATAGCTTGATTTTCCCTTGTAAAGAATAGTAGGATCCGTTCCTCCCCCTTCCGAGCCCAGCCTTACTGGGCTCCCCTGGGCCTTGACATTTTCATATGTTTCGGCCTCCTCGTTCATTTTGCATCTGACACCTGACCATCCCAGCCCAGCCAGTACCAGGACCCCCCGTCATCCCGGTCAAATAATATTACACGCGCGCATCCGTCGATTTCAAAAGATCAGGTTGCAATAACCTCTTGCCGCACATGTCGAGATCATGCCAAACAAGTGAGTTTTGCACACAGGCCCACATACCAACACAACACAAAAAAACGCTTTGGCCATTATCAATACTGCAGTGTGGCTGCCCGCGCGCAGTTGCTGCAATCATGTTGCAACTGTATAAATTGAGGAATATCTTCCCGCGCGGTGCATCTGCATTGATCCAGCATTTGCCGAGTGCACGAATCCGTATCGAATAATGCCATGCGAGCCACACACGCGCGCCACCACGCGCGCCACGCGCGCGTGTCGAATTCTTGTCAAAACGATTCTAACTATTTGAACACATTTTGAAATAACCACTCGTTGCTCACTCTAAAGACAGCCTGGTTTCTTGAGTTTGTGCACGGCCACACTTCCTCAGCAGCCCCCTCGTAAATCCCATCGCATCATCGTTTTTATCTTCAGGGTCAACCGCCGCCATTGCTGCCGACATCATTCAATCACATTCATCAGTGACACCTGGGCATCGTCATCGTCATCGCCGTCACTAGCATCGGCGCCGTCATTGGCCTTGCCGTCGTCATCGTCATCATCGCCTCCACAATCGCTACGAACATACGTCGTCGCCGCCGTTGTCGACCTCATCGGGACGTCGTGTCCGCCCGAGCCACGGACCCACATTGACGTGCCCGCGCGCCAGCTCGGCTTTCGAGACGCGCTGGGAAGTTCCGATCGGTAAACGCCATCGTTGCCGCAGCAGTTGTGCTAAACCAGCTGGCCGCGCCGGTGTGCGCGCCCGGGGGCGCGCCGGCGCGGCCGCAGAGATGCGCCAGCCAACGCCAAACAATCACCCCATCCGCGGCCGCATGGGTTTTGCAGAACAAGTACAGGTGTCGGGTGGGAGTGTTTGACCTGGATGATCTTGTGCTAGGCCGTTTCCTCCACATAGCCCTCACATCCAGAGTGCGCAGCTTTATTTGTTCGGGGTACACGCTGGGAGGCATGTTTGTTGCAGCGGGTATTGTTTCAGCTCGATCAGGAAGGAACGAACGAACCTTTGTCGTGCCCTCCCTCGATTAGCTCGCTCGTCCTCCCTGCCCCCTTGTCCTGTCTCCCCCCCCCGCAGCCTTCGATCTGCCGAGTTACGCACATCTGCGCTGCGTACGCTCGGCCTTCCCCCGCCCTGCCACTGCGTACACTCCTACAACTCCCGAGCCATGCGTGCAGGCGTGCTGACCGCGCTGCTGCTGGGAGAGCTCCTGGCATGCTCCTATGCCATCCACACCCTCCGAGCCTCGAAGAAGAAACAACGGCATAAACATAAGCTCTTGGCGCTCCGCGCGGATTTCTTGGATCCGCGCTGGCCCCCCTCCCTCCCCGGCGGCCCCCCCCCCCCTGCGCCGCCCCTCTCGCGCTCCGCGCGCCATGGAGGGGAGGGGGCCCAGAGCAGATCCGAGAAACCGGCGCGGAGCGCCAAAAGTTTTTATGCTCATGCCGTTTTCTCTTCTTCTCGATCCGGCGCCTCCCGAGCCTCCCGGGCGGAGGCCCTCAGGGCGGCGGCTTCGAGAGCCTCGAGGGCGGGGCGCGCAGGGCGCGCCTCGAGGGCCGCGGCGGAGGCCGCGGCGGAGGCCGCGGCGGAGGCCTCGGCGGAGGCCTCGGCGGAGGCCTCGACGGAGACCGCGGCGGACCTCAGAAGAGAAAGAGGTACTCCAGTTTTCGTGATAAAAGGGAGGGGGTCACAACCCTCCCAGACGAGAAGTTTTAGACCCCCCCAGACCATCCATGCAAGGGCGGCCCTTTGCCCAGGCCCCCCCCCAAATGTGACCCCCCCTACTTTATTATGGAATCCGGAGTACCCATACCGCCACCCTTCCCTCGTTTTCCTTTTTGTTGGGCCTCCTCGGAGGCCCTCGTCGCCACCGCTGGATTCGCCTCGAAATCCTGTTCAGAACGCACCCCTGGAGAGGTCCGGGGAGTAGCGGTATCGGTAGCGTTTGGTTTCCCCAGGATCTGGCCTACGCGTCCGAGGCCCGGCTGCGCGCCCAGGCGCTCGCCGCGGCGGAGGCTCGGGACGATCGAAACGGGTACGGGAGGAATGGGCACAAGGATCAAGTCGGGCGTGTCCCCCATACAGGGGGATTTTCGACGAGAAATAAAGATGCTCAAAACAGATTCCAATGTAGTCAAAAAGTAGTCAAAAATGGTCCCCATATTATTTTTGGCCTATTTTTGAATACTCCTCCTGTAGAGGGACAGGCCCGACTTGACACAAGGACTGACAGCAGATCCTGTTCACGCCGCGGGCGTTGTCCACTGAAGATAAGAGGCCGCAAGCCCCACAGCGGCCGCTGTCGGTGTTGGGAAACACTTGTTGTTGGGCATCGTGCCCATATCTTCTTCGTATCCGCTTCGGGCGTCCAAAGAGGCATCCTACACGTCCGAGGCCGCGTTCCGCGCCAACGCGCTCGCGCACGCCAGCATGTACGGGCACGCATTCTTCGACATCGATGACATGCTGGCCGAGGATGGCCGCGCCAGCATGTTCGGCAAGGCCGGCAGCACGGTCATCCAGGGCTCGGACAAGTCTGACGCGGAGTTGGAGGCCAGCCAGGGCGGCACGCTCGTCGAGGGTCTGGACGACGACAGCTCGGAGTCTGGCGGCGACGGGTCTGACGACGACGTCATCGGGGCCGAGGACAACTCCGAGGGCAGCTCCGAGGGCAGCTCCGAGGGCAGCTCTGGGGGCAGCTCCGAGGGCACCCCCCAGGTGAACCAGTGGGACCCGACTCGGCCGGTGGGGACCACCCTGTCCCCGGAGCAGCGCCAGCAGGCCAGGAGCAACAAACTGAACATGAATTCTCGTGGGGGGGGGGGGGGGCAGCGCAAATACAAGAAATCCGCGCACACCGTCGAAGGTTCAGGTGTATGCCTATCTTGTTGTTCCTCTAAGGCCCACATGTCGAAGTTCGCGGCGGAGTTCACCGTGGAGTTGAACATGACCGAGGCGCACGAGACCGGGATGAAGATGGGCATAATCCTTAACCGAGACGCCGACTTCCAGCCCGCCACGATTTGGAGGATCCAGAAGACGGGCCTCGTCGAGGCGTGGAACAAAGCCCACCCCGACATGGCGGTGCACGTCGGCGACGAGGTCATCCGCGTCAACAACATCCAGTGGCACGCGAACACGGAAACGTTCATCACGCGCATCGTCGGCCAGTTCCAGGCCGGGCGCAAGATGAAGGACTCGAGGAGGAAGTAATCGATGAAGCATGCATTGTCTGAGGCTCGCGCGGATTCCTCGGACGGTCGCTGGATCCCTCCCTGTCACGCCGAGCCAGGGGCGGCGCTGGAGGCGCCGCCAGGGGGGTCTTGAATCAGGAGGGCAAGAAACACACAGACACAATGAATCGTCGGCTCCCCTGAAAATAAGGGAAAACATGGGAAGTGGGGTGGAAGACAACACCCAGAAAATATGGGAAACCGTGGGGAATCCTTTTCTTTGTGTCTACTTATTGGTGTGTCCCAGGGCCCCTTCATGGAAGCAGAACCAGAAAATCCGAGCGAACCTCCGACAGTACATGCTTATGCAGCTTTCTGTTCCTTGAAGGAAGGGGCGAGCGACATTCTGAGGCTCTACATCCAGAGGCCCAGGGTCTGGGAGCACGCCCGCTTCGCCGGACAGCGGGAAGATGCCCACAACAAGGACTACGCGGCAGAGTTCGTCGCCTACGTGGGCATGCCCGATAAGCTTGACGACAAAATGGACAAGGTTTGGGGCCGGCGGCGGGGCTGAGGTGGCACAGCATTGGCTCCAGCCACCAGAATTGGGGAAGGAAGGGCTCCCTCGACGCCGCGGCTGGACGCGGCTCGAAAAACTTGGCAGGTTCGACTCCAGGAGGGGTCAGGACGGATTCGCTACGATACAATTCCTGGAAGGTTTAATTCCGTATCGGCGCTGGTATTTCCGCGATCGATAGCCGGTTTAATTTGGGCTTAACCTAATTCAGCTTAGTCCGGTTTAATCCCATGTTTAATCCGGCCTAATCTGTCCAATGTGATATTTCCACCGGGTTGAATCGCAGTGAATCGTTTTGACGAAAACCTCCCGGGAGTTGCCTCCGAAGGTTCTGAGTGGATTCGGCCCTCGCCGCCCCCATTGGACCAATCCTCTCGGGTCCCATGCTGCGCAGAGCCCTCCTCCGTGCCGCCTCCAAGACTAGGTGATGGGCTGGCAGCTGAGCCGCCAGCACGGACCGAATGGGCTGGAGGAGTGGAAGCCGGTCATCATCAAGACGATCGACAGGTTGGCAGGGTTTGTTTCGACTCTTCCGATTCGATTTGATTCGATTTCGATGGTTTCCGATTCCGATTCGATTCGATGTGGGATTCCGATTTGAGTTCCATATTAGCGTCCCGATTTCCGCCGATTCGACTTTTCCCGTCTCGGATGCCGATTTCCGCCGATCCGATTCATGTCGATCGCCGATCCGACTTATCGATTCGATTCTGGGCTCTCTCCCGCAGGTTGGGCCCGGTGGAGAGGTGGAACAAGCTCAACCCGGACAAGCTGATCCTGGAGGGGGACGAGATCATGCAGCTCGACAACGTCCGCTTCCACCACAACTCCACGCAGTGGCTGAAGGTCCTGCAGAAGCACTACAGGTCCGCCTCGGCGGTGGAGAGCACCAACAGGACGGCCCTCCTCTCCATCCGGAGGCCGCGCGCGAACCAGGAGGAGTTCGACGCGACCCACCCGATCAAGGAAATCGTGACCTGGAGGCGGCCGAGGCACTCTGTTCAGCTCACCTTCCCCGAGAAGGGCATCGGCAACCTCATGGGCTGGCAGATCCTGCCCAGCAAGGATCGGGACGATCGAAATGAGTATGGAAAGAATGGGCACAATGCCCAACAGCAGTTCCTGTTCATTTAAAACATGACTCGCTGTCCGCGCCGCCGCGGATGGCCGCCTGCCCAACAGCGGCCTCTGTCGGTTTAGGACAACATTTGTTACATTGGGCATCGTGCCCATTTTCTTCGTACCCATTTCGGGCGTCCAAAGAGGAGAGCGACATGGGCAGCTCGGCCACTGTCATCAAGAAGGTCCGCGACGGGGGCCTGGCCGCTCAGCACGGGGAGGAGATCGCCGCCGGCGACCTGATTGTGGAGATCGACGGCGTCTCGTGGGAGATGTACGACAAGGCCAGCCTTGGGGCCGTCTGAGGTGGTCAGGCACTGGTTCTGGCCAGCAGGCAGGCATGGGGGGCATCTTGGCATCGCTCGGACGTGTGCATTTTTCCTTCGGCGAGGACCATCGAGGAGCATCCTTGATCATTTCGCGAAAAAGCCACGCACGAAACCGAAAAAAGCACAGGAAATGGACGTCCGAGCGATGGCCAGGAAGGTTTTTTGGGGCCTTTTCGGGTTCTGTTGGCCCCGGGACCGTTCAAAACAGATCTGGTGTGAAGAGTTGCACAGAGGGGGCCCCGGGGAGGGGTCCGGGGACAGATCTTGAACGGAGTTGGCATTCATCCCTTCCCCCTGACCGATCTTCTGGGGGTCCCAGCAGTGCAAGCCCCGCCGGCCGCCTCCCAAGGCCAGCGACTTCTTCGCGGTCGTCGACGAGACGATCAAGGCTGCCGAGAGGAAGGGGCCCGAGGCGGAGCCGGTCAACCTTGTCCTCGAGAGGCCCTCGAAGTTTGTGCGGAAGGTCCGCATGAACATGGAGCGCGGGGTGCACATCGATGCTAAGATCCTGAAGCACATCAGGGAGTTGCGGACGACCACCACCACCGAGCTCCCGCCGATGTTCGAATCCATGCCCACCGACGGCACCAACGGTGCTCAGGGCACCGACGCCAAGGAGAAGGAGGAGGTCACTGGTGCCAGTGACGACGACGACGATGACGTCATCGGCGCCGGCGAGGATGATCCGAACGAGTCCAAGAGTGGTGAGTCGAAGGGTGATGAGGCGAAGGGCGAGGATGATCCGTGAACTGCGATCAAGGACACGGCCGCTACGTCGAAGTGACTCTGTCTCTTGTGTAGGGAGCTCCTTTGGCGGGTGATGCCGAACGTGGTATTTCAGCGCAATGTCGGATTACATGAGGTACCCTATTTCTGACTTTGTTCCGTCCCAAATCGAAACAACCAAGTCCTCCTCCTCCTCCTCTTCCCCCCCCTCCCCGCTAGCTCCTCCTCTTCCTCCTCCGCCTCCTCTGGAAGCCTCCGAACGCGCTCCTGAAGCCCCATGAAGCCATCGGAAGCCAGCAACACGTTCGAACGTTCCTGCTCGCCCTCCTCTCTCCACCCCGTTCCTTCCTCCATCCTTCTTGCTCAATCCTTCTCGCATCCTGCGCTGCGCGCTCAAACGGTGGATCGTCCTGGAGGGGCACTGCGCGAGCGGCACTCGAGGAGGCATGGCAGCGGAGGCACGACCCACGCGAGAGCAGACTGTCCCAGAGGCAACGCTCAGTAGTTGCGAGTCGGGCCTCTCCCTCTACAGGAGGAATCTTCAAAACCTCCTCCTCCTCCTCCTCCTTCTCCTCCTCCTCCTTCTCCCGACCATATGCAGTTGTGGGTACCGCAATTGTTTTACATCTTCTTCGGTGGAGCTCCCTATGGGGCCACGAAGCGCTGCACCGGGTGGGGGGAAACACATGCGGGTGGTAGCACTGGGGCCTTCGGTGGAGCTCCCTACGGGGCCACGAAGCGCTTCTCTGGGTGGGTGAAAATGCCACATTCTTGACGCTTCGCGTATCCCCACCAGTCCCTCGCACGTGCATCCCGGCGTTGGCTTTTGGCCCGCTGGCAATTATCTCGCTTGGCCCCCCAAGCTTGCTCTCTCTGGCACATGTGCCCTCCCGCGTCGGCTTTGGCCCGCTGGCAATTATCTTGCGTGCTGCCCCATGCTCGATACGACCCGCTCTCCGGAATCGTCCTTGGAGCCGCAGATAAAAAAAAAAGTATCCCCACCAGCCCATCCAAAAAAGATGCCCAGGCGAATTGCGGTGATCAGGGAAGTGAGGGAGCATACAGAGTAGCAAAGGGCTGGGGGACCCGTCTTACCCAAGAGGGCGAGGATGGAGGAGGAGTCGGAGGAGGATGAGGAGGAGGAGGAGGAGGGGGAGGAGGGGCAGCAGGTGGGAAAAGTGGGAGGAGGGAGGAGGGAGGAGGGGGAATAGGCGGATGATGAGGAGGAGGGGGAGGAGGAGGATGAGGAGGGGGAGGAAGAGAAGAGGAAAGGAGGAGGATGAGGCTGATAAAGTGGAGGAGAAGGAGGAGGAGTAGGCCGACAAGGAGGAGGAGGAGGAGGAGGAGGAGGAGGAGGAGGATGAGAAAGATGAGAAGGAACAAGAACAATGACGTGCACAAGAGCCTCCTAGGATGTCCCTTGGAAGTTGTTTTGGGGTCCTCTTGGGGCGCCTGGGGGATTCTTGGATGCCTCGGGGATCCTCTTGAGGCCTCTTTAGGGTCTAGGGAGCCTCTTCAGGGCCTCTTGGGGGCCTCTTGGGGCCTTCTGGGCGCCTCTTGAGGCCCTCTTGGGGCGCTCTTGGGAGCCTTGGGAGCGCTCTTGGGGCCATCTTGGAGGTGATCGATCAAAGGAAGGGGGGTCCCCCAATTAGCGTCCCCCCTCGGGAGCCTCTAAAATCGGCCAAAACCCCCGTAATACCGATGAGTTTGGCTTCCTCGCCGAGGCCGTTTTGGACGCTCCAACTACCAGCGAAACCCTCCGTCCAGGCCCAGGGGAGGGGGTTAGGGGGAGGGGTAAACCCCTCCCCGAAGGGGAAGAAGGGAAGATGGAAGAGGAAACTCCCGGAACCACCTACGCCCAGAGGGCTGGTGGGATTGGGTGTGTGGGGGGCGCATGCGGGAGGTCCCATTGGTGGCTTCGGTGGGGCTCCCTATGGGACTACGAAGCGCTGTACTAGGTGGGTGAAAATGCCAAATCTGATGTTTCTGGACGCATGCGGACGGTGGCACTGGGGCCTTCGGTGGAGCTCTCTGTGCGGCCACGGAACGCTATACAGGGTGGGTGAAAATGCCAAATTGGACGTTTCGCGGCGCATGCGGACGATGGCATTGGGGCCTTCGGTGGAGTTCCCTATGGGACCACGAAACGCTGTACGGTGTGGGTGAAATTGCCAAATCTGACGCTGCATTGGGTGGGTGAAAATGTCACATTTGATGTTTCTGGACGCATGCGGACGGTGGTACTGGGGCCTTCGGTGGAGCTCCCTAGGGGGCCACGAAACGTTGTCCAGGGTGGGTGAAAATGCCGTATTGGATGTTTCGGGACACGCGCGGACGGTGGCATTGGCGCCTTCGGTGGAGCTCCTTATAGAGCCACGAAGCGTTGTACTGGGTGGGTGAAACGCAGGGAAGAGAGGAGGGGGAGGAGGAGGGAGGGAGGGAGTGAGGAACGCGGGGCGTTGTCTCTTCAAAACGAGGACCCAACACCACATGATGGTTGGGAAATCGTCAACAAATACCCAGGGCATGATTTTTTCTAGTATGTTTGAGCATCTTTGATCAATTCGACCATTCTTGATCTTTCCGGCAATGTCTGCCTGTAGGGGGACATGCCCAAACTGACTGTAGTTTTGAGTAGGGTTGTCTTGGTTTCGACCATACTGGCAGCGGGTTGGACGGGACTCGTTCTACATCCCAGAGCCCAGTTCGATCCGAGCAGTTTGATATGAATCGGTTCAGGCCGGTTCCATCCCATGCATATCTGGTATTCCAACGAGTTGATATCGTCCGAAGTTTGACATGGCGTTGTCGTGCATCCCAGAGCGGCCGATCCGATTCCAGCTCGACTCCTTGCCGATGCAGCCTGATCCGACGGACATTTCGGTTCGGCCCGATTTCCCGATTTGATGTGATTCATTCTGCCATCCTCGTCCTCGTCCTCGTCCTTCTCATCCTCCTCATCCTCATCCTCAAGCTCTCATCTCCTCTCCTCTTTCTCCTCATTGGTCTCCTCCTCCTCCGCCTCCTCCTCCTTCTCCTCCCCATGACTTGCCTGGCCACGTACAAAAAGGATGAGGATTATTCATGGAACCCTCAAGACCCTCGAGGCCTAGAAGGCGGCTTGAAGCATCCTTGGCCTTGCCCTCCAGCACCGAGCGCTTCTGGCTTGTCCAATCCGCATCATGTGGCCGAGGATACGGGCCGCATGTGAATTCGGTGTCATGGGGTCGACGGTCGACGTCTCAGGCATGTGAAGCGGCATGACTGGACTCGTAGCGTTTCGCTGTCAATCTCTTGGACTGTGCCATTCGTGCGGGATCTCCCCCCTGATCGGCAGGCGCCCATAGCGTGGGGGAAGGGGGGGGCTCCCGAGTGGCATGCACTCAGGTATCGCTCTGGGCTGGTGTGCTCTGCCCCGCTGCCAGGCTTTCCTCGATGAGTCGGCGCGGGAGGCGCTGGGGAAGCCAGCCACCTCGGTTGAGTTGCCAATCGTCCCTTTCTATTACCCCTCCCCCCCCCTTCCCATCGTCCGACGGCGGCGTTGCCGCCGTGGGACGAAGGAGGAGAAGGGTGGAGGAGGAGGAGGAGGAGGAGGAGGAGGAGGAGGAGGAGGAGGAGGGGGAGGAGTACGAGGAGGAGGAGGAGGAGGAGGAGGAGGAGGAGGAGGAGAGGGAGGGAGAGAAGGAGGAGGAGGAGGAGGAGGAGGAGGAGGAGGAGGAGGCAAAGAAGGAGGAGGAGGAAGAGGAGGAGGAGGAGGAGGAGGAGGAGGAGGAGGAGGAGGAGGAGGAGGAGGAGGAGGAGGAGGAGGAGGGGGAGGAGGGGGAGAGGAGAAAGAGAAAGAGGAGGAGGAGGAAGAGGAGGAGGAGGAGGAGGGGGAGGAGGAGGAGGACGAGGATTAGCTGCAGACATCCGGTGTGCCGAGTTGTTCAGTCTGGGGTCCTGGGAGCGTAAGGCGCGGATGGTTGCCTGCCACGCCACGCCCTGGGTTGGCGGAGAGTGTCCCCATCCATCCATCCATACTACTGCTATATGTGCGTCGCCCGGCAAATGGCGACGCGCGCACCGAGAAATCGTATAGTGTACGCGTCGTGGCGGGCGCTTTCTGGCCACGCCGCTCGAGAAACGGTATGCTACAAGATGGGTGTGCTACAGGTTCGGGTCGGACGCGCGCCTCCAAGGAGGACAGATAGTACTAGTATGTCCCTGTGCGTCCCATCCACCGTTCCGCAGGCTGCCCGCCGCGGCGGCGCGAATGCAATCGCGCCCTGCGCGCCGCCTTCGGAGCACCTGCCCCTCCTCGGAGGGCGGCGCGAGCGGCGCGGGGAAAGCATCGGGGAGCGCGATGCGCGAAGTCAGGTGTCCCGGGTTCCCCTAGGGCTCGTTTCGGTTGCTCCGATTCGAGTCGATTCGATCTCCATGTTGTCTGATCCCGATTTGATTCGATGTCGGAATCCGAGTTTTCAATGGAGGCTTACCGGCCTGCCGATGTACGTCGACTCGACTTCTCCCTGCTTGACTGCCGATTTCCGCCGATCCGATTCATTTCGATCGCCGACCCGACTTATCGAGTCGATTCTGGGCTCGCTTGGGCTCCCGAGGGATCCTCCTCAGACATACGATGTCCTGATTCGTCAGTGCGGGATCCCCGGCAAGCCCCGACCCGTTCCCCCGGGCCAGTGTTTCATCCCGGGCCGTGTCTTGACGGCCCAGGGACAAGCCAGGGCTCCCCGAGGTCGAAGATTGCCCCAAATCGTCCGCCGTGATTCTTCATCGACGCGGGCATGTCGGGTGCTGCCTCGCCGATGCTCACTGTCGTTTAACCGGTCCTTGTCCCCACCCCCATCCCGATCCCCACCACCCCGCCACCCCAGTTGAGGATCTGCCCGTCGAGACCTGATGGGAACAGCCTATGTCCCCATCCAGGTGGGTCAAATGGCCCACGGGGCCCAGGCCACGCCAGTGGCAATAGGGATCGGTTGAATGATGCCCACCTCCCCCTGCCCGACGGCGGCGACGACGGATCTGTGGGGCGGGCCCCGGCGCCCCAGGAGGGCAGCGCGGCCGTCTGCGAGCTGCCCGCCCTGGAGGCTTCGGCGCGGGCTGCCTCGTCCGCCACCGCTCGGGCCAGGGGCGAACGGGGGTCGAAGAAGAAGAAGAAGTGTCCTGGCGGAGGGCCCAA